GCATTTATCCTTTGTGTTACAAACAACACAATTATACTCTTTTAGTTATTTTAAAATGTACAATTAAATTATCATTGATTATAGTCACCCTGTTGAATCCACAATTTTTAAAAGGTACCTTTTGATGGAAATATTTTTAAAGATTTACTTTTTTTGGCTGGGTGTGGTGGCACAGGCCTATAATCACAGCACTTTGGGAGGCTGAAGCAGGTGTATCACTTGAGATCAGGAGTTTGAGAGTAGCCTCGCCATCATGGTGAAACCCCATCTCTACCAAAAATACAAACATTGCCTGGACATGGTGGTGAATGACTGTAATCCCAGCTGCTTGGGAAGCTGAGGCATGAGAATCGCTTGAACCCAGGAGGTGGAGGTTGCAGTGAGCTGAGATTGTGCCACTGCACTTCAGCTTGGGTGACAGAGCAAGACCCCATCTCAAAACAAAAGAAAAAAAAAAGCTGAAAAATAGATTATAGTAACCATATTTTCCAGATGTTGTTTTAAAATGAAAACTAAAAGGTTCTTTAGACAATTAAATTTTATTTCAGTGAAAAGCAATGTGCTTATTTTGTTTTTGTTTTTATTTTTTTTGAGACAGGATCTCACTATGTTACCCAGGCTGGAGTGCAGTGGTGCGATCTCAGTTCACTGCAACCTCCACTTGCCTCCTGGGTTCAAGCAATTCTCACGTCTCAGCCTCTTGAGTAGCTGGGACTACAAGTGTGCACCACCATGCCCAGCTAATTTTTGTATTTTTAGTAGAGATGGGGTTTCAACATGTTGGCCAGGCTGGTCTTGAAGCAATGTGTTATTATCTATAGAGATGCTTCTCTTCAACCCTCATCCCTCATTCTCATACACTGGTATATATTTTACATGAGATTTTATATATACATATATAATTGCATTTTAGGCTCTGGGGTACATGTAAAGAATATGTAGGATTGTTGCATAGGTACATACATGGCAATGCAGTTTGCTGCCTCCATCCCCATCTTTCAATTTTGATGATAGGGTGTCAATTTTAGATATTTCCTTGCTTCTCATGTGGGCATTTATTGCTATAAATTTTCCTCTAAACACTGCTTTAAATGTGTCCCAGAGATTCTGGTACATTGTGTTTTTGTTCTCGTTGGTTTTTCGGAGAACATTTTTATTTCTGCCTTCATTTCATTGTTTATCCAGTCAACATTCAAGAACCAGTTTTTCAGTTTCCATGATGTTGTGCAGTTCTGAGTTAGTTTCTGCATTCTGAGTTCTAACTTGATTGCACTGTGGTCTGAGAGACTGTTTGTTATGATTTCCGTTCTTTTGCATTTGCTGAGGAGTGATTTACTTCCGATTATATGGTCAATTTTAGAGTAGGTATGATGTGATGCTGAGAAGAATGTGTATTCTGCAGATTTGGGGTGGAGAGTTCTGTAAATGTCTATTAGGTTTGCTTGGTCCAGGTCTGAGTTCAAGTCCTGGATATCCTTGTTAATATTCTGTCTCATTGATCTGTCTAATATTGACAGTGGAGTGTTCAAGTCTCCAACTATTATTGTGTGGGAGTCTAAGTCTCTTGTAGGTCATTAAGAACTTGCTTTATGTAACCAGGAGCTCCTGTATTGGGTGCATACATATTTAGGATCGTTAGCTTTTCTTGTTGCATTGATCTTTTTAACATTTTGTAATGCTCTTCTTTGCCTCTTTTGATTTTTGTGGCTTTAAAGTCTATTTTATCAGAGATGAGAATTGCAACTCCTGCTTTTTTTTTTGCTCTCCTTTTGCTTGGTAAATCTTCCCCCACCCCTTTATTTTTAGCTTATGTGTATCCTTGCATGTGAGATGGGTTTCCTGGATACAGCACACCAATGGGTTTTGGCTTTTTATCCAATTTGCCAGTCTGTGTCTTTTGATTGAGGCATTTAGCCCATTTACATTTAAGGTTAATATTGTTATGTGTGATTTTGATACTGCCATTTTGGTGCTAGCTGGTTGTTTTGCCCATTAGTTGACGCAGTTTCTTCATTGTGTCTGTGCTCTTTACCACTTGGTACATTTTGGAATGGCTGGTACTGGTTGTTCCTTTCTATGTTTAGTGCTTCTTTCAGGAGCTCTTGTAAAGCAGGCCAGGTGGTGATGAAATCTCTGAGCAATTGCTTGTTCATAAAAGATTTTTTTTTTTTTTTTTGAGACGGAGTTTCACTCATGTTACCCAGGCTGGAGTGCAATGGCGCAATCTTGGCTCACCGCAACCTCCGCCTCCTGGGTTCAGGCAATTCTCCTGCCTCAGCCTCCTGAGTAGCTGGGACTACAGGCACACGCCACCATGCCCAGCTAATGTTTTGTATTTTTAGTAGAGACGGGGTTTCACCATGTTGACCAGGATGGTCTCGATCTCTTGACCTCGTGATCCACCCGCCTCGGCCTCCCAAAGTGCTGGGATTACAGGCTTGAGCCACCGCGCCCGGCTGAAATTTCCTTTCTTTAAGGATGTTGAATATTGGCCCCCACTCTCTTCTGGCTTGTAGGGTTTCTGCTGAGAGATCCTCTGTGAGTCTGATGGGCTTCCCTTTGTGGGTAACCCGACCTTTCTCTCTGGCTCCTCTTAGCATTTTTTCCTTCATTTCAACCCTGGTGAATCTGATGATTATGTGCCTTGGGGTTGCTCTTCTTGAGGAGTATCTTTGTGGTGTTCTCTGTATTTCCTGGACTTGAATGTTGGCCTGCCTTGCTAGGTTGGGGAAGTTCTCCTGGATAATATCCTGCAGAGTGTTTTCCAGCTTGGATTCATTCTCTCCATCACATTCAGGTACATCTATCAGATGTAGATAAGGTTTTTTCACATAACCCCATATTTCTTGGAGGCTTTGTTCATTTCTTTTTACTCTTTTTTCTCTAAACTTGCCTTCTCATTTTATTTCATTGAGTTGATTTTCAATCTCTGATATCCTTTCTTCTGCTTGGTCGATTTGGCTATTGAAACTTGTGTATGCTTCACGAAGTTCTCGTGTTGTGTTTTTCAGCTCCATCAATTCATTTATATTCCTCTCTAAGCTGTTTATTCTCATTAGCATTTCATCTTCTTTGCACTGGTTTCTTCCCATCTTTGTGGATTTATCTACCTGTGGTTTTTGTGGTTGGTGACTTTCAAATGGGGTCTCTGAGTGGATGTCCTTTTTGTTGCTGATGAGGTTATTTCTTTCTGTTTTTTAGCTTTCCTTCTAACAGTCAGGCTCCCCTGCTGTAGGACTTCTGGAGGTCCACTCCAGACCCTGCTTGCCTAGGGATCACCTGCAGCGGCTGCAGAACAGTAAGGGTTGCTGCTAGTTTCTTCTTCTGTTATCTTTGTCCCAGAAGGATACCCGCCAGATGGCAGCCTGAGCTCTCCTTTATGAGGTGACTCTTTGCTTATACAGGGGTTGGGGAGCTGCTTGAGGAGACAGTCTGTCCTTATAGGTGTTTAAGTGCTGGGCTGTGAGCTCTGTTGTTCCATTCAGAGCTGCTAGGCAAGTACGTTTAAGTCTGCTGCAATTGAACTCATAGCCACCTTTTTTCCCGGGTGCTCTGTCCTGGGAAGGTGGGTCTTTATTTATAAGTTCCTGATGTGCTGCTGCCTTTTTTCAGAGATGCCCTGCCCAGTGAGGAGGTAGCCTAGTCACAGTCTGCCAGCAGAGGCATTGCTGAGCTGCCATGGGCTCTGCCCAGCTGCTATGTGAACTTCCTTGCAGTTTTGTTTATAGGGGTATAGTTAGAACTGCCTCAGTAATGGCGGACTGCCTCAGTAGTGGCAGACTCCCTCGGTAGTGGTGGATTGCCTCCGTAATGGCGGACGCCCTTCCCCCCATAGAGCTGGACCGTCCCAGGTCCAGCTGTGCTTGCTGTGAAACTCTCAATCCAGAGCATTTCAGATTGCTGGTCTTTGTGGGGATGGGACCCACTGAACGAGATCACCTGGCTCCCTGTTTCAGTCCCCTTTTTTTGAGTTGAACAGGCGACTCCGTCTCCCAGGCGTTCCAGTTGCCAGTTGAAACTGCACCCGGGTTTGTGTGAGTTTTTGTGCAGAAACCCATTGCGCCGGCTGAAACAGCCGCACTGGAGACTCGTGGTGCTTTTCTGCCCAGGAATCTCCTGGTCCGTGGGCAGTAAAAATTCATTTGGAAATGGAGTGATCACTCACCCTCTGCATTTTCACTGGGAACTGCAATCCAGAGCTGTTCCTATTTGGCTGTCTTGGATCACCAAGTAGTCAGAATGCATCAATAGTTTGTTTTCAAAAAATTTTCTTTTTGTTGCTCTCTGTGGAACTCCACCTCCCATTTTGCCTTTTCTGATGTCTCCCCTGCAATCTATGCTATATCTTTGAACAGTTTTTTGTCTGTGTGGCCTCATTGAGTCTTTTTGGTATCCTACACCTTTTTCCTATGTGTGGAATAGACTAACTTCAAATCTATAAACTGAATAGCCCCATTTCTTGGACTACATCTTGATTTTCTTCTCCCATTTTATAACCCTATCACTTTCCTGAGTAGGCTGATGTCAGCCTTTCTACAATATGTCCTTTTAATTTGGGCCATCAGAGGTAAAAGGAAATATCAACAATTGATAATGTAGGAAATGCATTAATGTCGTTGAAAGTGTTACTGACCTTCACTTAATTTTTTTGAATATCTTTTAGTCCAAAATGGTTATCATCTGTAGTTTTCTCCAGTGGGACTTTTTGTATTTCACGTGTAATATATACACTGAAGTATTATTTCAGCCATGGCTCAGTGGCCAAAAGCAATATTTTAAAAGTTTACAGTATTTTATTTTTTAAAAAAGCAGTATTTTAAAAACTTACCTGCCATGCACGGTGACTCACGCCTGTAATCCCAGCACTTTAGGAGGCTGAGGCAGGAGAATCACTTGAACCCGGGAGGCAGAGGTTGCGGTAAGCCAAGGTTGTGCCATTGCACTCCAGCCTGGTCAATAAGAGTGAAAACATCTCAAATACAAAACAAAAAAAAGTTTACCTTTTCCTTGTTTCCAAAATATGCACCAAAAAATGTTAGTGGTACTGAAATTCCAAACCAAATTGTAAAGATATCTAGCAGAGTAGAAAAAAAATTCTCTTCCATCCAGAGAATTTCATTCACAAGGAAGAGGTCAGCAAAGACAATTCTGAAGGGAGAAAAAAGTCATTAGAAAACAGGGGGTAGGGAAAGATTTTTTAAAGGGCACAAAATTACTGCTAAATAAGAAAAATAAGTTCCAGCATTCTATATATAACACTGTAGGATGACAACAATTAATATTAATATGCTATATAGTTTCAAATAGTTAGCTAGAAAGAAGATATTGAACGTTCTCAACACAAAGAAATAATAAATTTTGAGACGATGGATATGCTAATTACCCTGATTTGATCACTGTATATTATATGCATTGAAACATCACTATGTACCCCAAGAATATGTACAATTATTGTATGCCCATTTAAATTAAAAGTTTAAAAATGTGTACAACAGCTGGGCGTGGTGGCTCACGCCTGTAATCCCAGCACTTTGGGAGGCCGAGGTGGGTGGATCACGAGATCAGGAGTTCGAGACCAGCCTGGCCAATATGGTGAAACCCCATCTCCACTAAAAATACAAAAATTAGTCGAGCATGGTGGCATACGCCTGTGGTCCCAGCTACTCGGGAGGCTGAGGCAGGAGCTTGAACTTAGGAGGCAGAGGTTGCAGTAAGGCAATATCTCACCACTGCACTCCAGCCTGGGTAACAGAGTGAGACTCAGTCTCAAAAAAAAAAAAAAAAAAAAAAAATGTGTACAACAAAAGAAAACAATATGCTTTCAGGAAAATGTTATAAACATAACTTTTCTTTTCTTTTCTTTTTTTTAAAGACAGGGTTTTACCATATTGGTCAGGCTGGTCTTGAACCCCTGACCTCAGGTGATCCACCCACGTCAGCCTCCCAAAGTGCTGGGATTACAGGCATGAGCCACCGCGCCTGGCTCAAACATAACTTTTCTTTAAGCAGTATCTTGCTCTGTCACCCAGGCTGGAGGGCAGCAGCACAATCATAGCTTACTTGTAGCTTCAACCTCCTGGACTTAAGCAATCATCCCACCAAAGCCTCCTGAGTAGCTAGGACTATAGGTGTGTGCCACCAGGACTGGCTAACATTTTTTGCAGAGAGAAAGTCTCACTACTTTGCCCAGGCTATTCTCAAATTCCTGGGCTCAAGTGATCCTCCTATCTCATCTTCTCAAAACACTGGAGCAGTGGGCATGAGCCATCATGCCTTTGAATATCCAGGCATGTAAGAAGGATATAATAAATTACAATGTTAAATCCGAGAAGAATATTAAATCACAGTGTGTAAATCCAGTCATTGAGCTAGGGCTTAAACTTGATACCATTTATGAAAGAAGAAAGAGGTTTCTTATCAGATGCAATTTTCATATCCTACTCATCTTTTGCACCTTCAGAATCTAGCAGAAAGTAAGTAAGGTATGAAGTAATAGACCATGGAAAAAAATCAATATACTACATAGTGAACACAATCAAAAAATAGCATATATAGTAAACAGATTTTCAAATCCTAGGCTGAAAGGGGCTATAAGATGCCTTCAAGTTAGACAGGTTTTCACTTAAGGAATTTTAAATTGGTTGTTCAAATCAACAGGCCAACTTATAAGTCTACTGGATACATCACCAGGCAAGCCTAGCTGCTGTGTCCCTACTTGTCTGGTACACCAGGCAAGTTTGACCAAAGCTACAAGTGGGGATGGGTGTGGATATGGATATGAGTGTTTTGGAAAGCCTAAAAGATGAGGTTGAAACAGTAGACAGAGGTTAGACTGTGGAAGGCTTTGATTTTCTCCTTTTGGCATTAGGAAGCAACAGAAGAGTTTTTACAATCAAAACTGTGATACACCGTGCAGTTGTTTGGGAAGACGAATCCACAATATTGTGGAAAACAGACCTGAGGGATGAGATGATAGAGGAAAGGAGCCCAGACAGGAAGTGGTAAGAAGTTGTATAATGTGGTGATAGTTAAAATGAAAAGAGATGGATATAAAAGAGATGAAGAGTTAAGAATACTTATGCAACAAATGTGCACATGTACCCCCGAATATAAAATAAAATAATTGGAAAAAAAGAATTAGGAGACTTTTGCTTAAAGGTGGCAGATTTAACTTACACATTTAGCTCTGCTCCTTCCTCAAAACCCTCATAAAATTACAATAAAGGAATTCTAAAAAGACATAAAAACACAAGGTAGAAGAATAGAGGAGAGAAGATATTAGCAACAAATTTTGGAAACTGGATAGCAACTGAACAAATACTAACCGAATTAGCAGAAGTAAGAAATCTGCATCCCAAGTCATCAGTAGGGAAAGCTGAAATGCAAGTCCATTTATACCAAAGAATTCCAAAAGGGCTCAGGAATTTGTAGTACCAGGTACCCCTGTAAGTAGGCACAAAGGAGAGGTAATAACCAGAAGGACTGCTTGAAAGTCAGCCTAAGAAGCTGACTTGCAGATTCCTTGCCCTATTCTGCAGGGCTAAATAATTTCCCTTCCCCAACACCAACAGAATACTGGAGGTCTGTTCTTTTGGGAAAGATCCCTGAAGTTCAGAAGGAAAGCTTTAAAAAGAAAATCTATCATTGACATCCTCGGAGAGATTAGAGGCAATATTGCGACCATAAAACAAGAAAAAGAAATTTTAAAGACTATTGAGGAAACAAAAGAGCTCTTGGGAATTAAAAATATGACAAGAGGAATTAAAACCTCAATAAAAGAGTTGCAAGATAGAGGTGATTAAAATTTCTTAGAAAGCACCATTTTTAAAAAAATGGAAAACAGGCAAAAAATTATGAGAAAATTAGATGAACAACCCAGACATCTGAAAAACAGGAGTTGCCAAAGGAGACAGGGTTTCTTATTAATGTCTTTTAGGGATATTAAGTACTTTGCTCAAGGTCAAACCACTAAAAGAGGCAGAGCTGGGGTTCTTTTTTTTCCCATTTATTTATTTTATTGCATTTTAGGTTTTGGGGTACATGTGAAGAACATGCAAGATTGTTGCATAGGTACACACGTGACAGTGTGATTTGCTGCCTTCCTCCCCATCACCTACATCTGGCATGTCTCCCCTTGCTATCTCTCCCCAGCTCCCCACCCCCCACCGTCCCTCCCCTATTTCCCCCCAACTGACCCCAGTGTGTAGTGCTCCCCTCCCTGTGTCCATGTGTTCTCATTGTTCAACACCCGCCTATGAGTGAGAACATGTGGTGTTTGATCTTCTGCTCTTCTGTCAGTTTGCTGAGAATGATGGTTTCCAGGTTCATCCATGTCCCTACGAAGGACACAAACTCATCGTTTTTGATGGTTGCATAATATTCCATGTGTATATGTGCCACATTTTCCCTATCCAGTCTATCGTCGATGGGCATCTGGGATTCTAAGTCAGGTGTGTCTGATTTTTTAAGTGCAAGCTTTTTCTCATTCCACTATGCTATGACAAAGCCTCTACGATGAGGCCTCTGGGATGATAACTCTAGAATGTTAACGTATGTGTAACAAATCTGTAACTGTCCTCCAACTTCCTGTTTTTACATTCTAAATATTCTTCTGTTTTTACATTCTAAATATTTCTTCCTGTTTTTACATTCTAAATATTTCTTCCTAGGCACAGTAGCTCATGCCTATAATCCCAGAATTTAGGGAGCCAAGGTGGGCAGATCACATGAAGTCAGGCATTCGAGACCAGCCTGGCCAACATGGTAAAACTCCATCTCTACTAAAAATACAAAAATTAGCCAGCAGTGGTGGTGCATGCCTGTAATCCCAGCTACTTGGGAGGCTGAGGCTAGAGAATCACTTGAACCCAGGAGGCAGAGGTTGCAGTGAGCCAAGATTGCACAACTGCACTCCAATCTGGGCAACAGAGAGAGAACCTGTCTCAAAAAAAAAAGCCTCTTTGATGAGAAAATTATCCCTGAACCCACTCTAACAACTACATCTGTCTTCTCCCCTCCTGGACATTTTGTCAGAGACGAGACAGAGGGAATGTGTTAATAGCCACTCTATGATATTACCAGTTTAGCCTTTCAGGTCAACTGTTCAGGGAATCTCTGGTTTAGCTCTTCAGTTATAAGTTCTCCCAATGTCCATTCCAAGTCTATCATTTTAATTCTGCCATCACATTTGTCATCTCTTCTCAATTTCTTATTTAGGATCATTGTTTTGGATGCTTTTTCATCTCTCATTACAAGTAATTTGGTCTTTACTCAATCAACTTCAGTTATTTCTTCTTTCATTTTACTATTTCTATTTCACCTTTCCCCCTTGTGTTTACAATTTCTTCTGTCTACTAACAACTTTTCAGTAGGTATACCTATTCTGCTCTCTAAACGCTCATACTTTGCTCCTGTTGGAGATATAGCTTAAAGTTCTTTTAAACAAAACAAAACCTCTACCTTATGTCCCATCAGTTTCTGGCTTCTTAGTAAGGAAGCCTGGTTTTCCATGATTTAACTCCACTTCTCAAAATGTTTTTAATACCTTTCTGCTCTAATGAATTTGTTTAGCCACAATGTTCCCCTGCCAAATTTCCTAGCTTTTGAGAGATTCATTTCAGCTGTTATCATTCCTTGGCCAGAAAAATTACTTCTCACTTGACAAATCATAACCTCCCTTTTTATATATAAACTCAATTAACCCGTCTCAACAATTTCCCTTTTGAAAGTACACTCTAGAATGTTAATATGTATTTAACAAATCTGGAACTGTCCTCCAATTTCATGTTTTTACATTCTAAATATTTCTTCCTATGTCAATCTCTAATTATTTTAGACATTTTCATGAAATCTTAAACAGCAAAAGTAGAAGGAAACTTAATAGGTCACCTGAGTCCATCTCCAACCTGAAACATTTATTCACACATTCATCAAACATTTATTGAGTACCAGTGTGTTAGGCCCTGGTGTCCAAAGATAAATAAAACAAAAATCTTAGCTCTGAAAAAATCTTAATCTAGTGGAAGACAGATATAAACAAATAAATTACAATACAACATGGGAATTGCTATAGCAGAATGATGAACACAGAGCAGTAAGAACCCAGAAGAAAAGAGTGACCAGAAATGCTTTGTAACTCACAAAACAAT